ACGGGGGACACACACAGCACGGCCCACGGCACACAGCACAGCACACACACATACCACACACCACAGCACAGCACACACCACACACCACAGCACACAGCACAGCACACACACACCACATACACCACACACAACAAACACCAGACCACACACACCACACATACCACACAACACACACCATATACACCACACCACACACACCACACACGTACCACACATACCACACACACAGTACACACACCGCACATACCATGCACATACCACACACACCATACACACACCACAGCACACACAGCGCACACACCACACACATAGCACACCACACACCACAGCACACACACATACCACACATACCACACCACATACACACCACACCACACCACACACACCACACCACACCATACCACACACACACCAGACACCACAGCACATGCACACACCGCAACACACACCATACCACACACACCACATCACACACACCACACACACACCACAGCACATGCACACACCACAACACATCACATGCACATATACCACACCACAACACACACACACTACCCCACACATATCACACATACACCACAACACACACCACACACGCCACCCCCACACTATCCCACCCACACATGCACACACATCACACCACACCACAACACACATTCCACATGTATATACACAACATATGCACCACACATACCACACAGACCACATCACACACATACACCATAACACACCGCATACTCACCACTCCCACCACATGTGCACCCACCATACGCACCATATCATATGTACCACATGTACGCACCACATATACACACATATCCCACACACACACCACATACGCATAAACGTCACACACACACCACATACCACACACAACACATACACATACCCTACACGACACATACACATGCACCACACCACACACATTCCATACCCCCCTACACACACACACTCTCCAAGGTAAAATAAGCAAGTAAATAGATGCATTTATGGGCACAGGAGGGCTGGCAGCAGTTAAGAGGTGGCAATAATTACAAGGTGAAAACCGCAGGCGTGAAGCTTTCATCTGTGAGAACCTTCCTGTAACCTGTTCATGATATAAATATCCAGGGAGAGAGGCCCCACGGTCCAGGCACATCCTCTCCGGGGGGTCTCGTCCCACCTCCGGCGGCTCCTGGACACCAGGCCAGGCCCAACCAAGCCCCTCTTGCTCTTTCCCAGGCCGGCCCTGCTTCCCCCTTGCGGGGCCAAACATTTCTAAAGAACAAAACACCCCACTCAGCACCTTGTTCCAAAGTTTCTCTCCACAAAGCTGTGGTTTCTGGGAGGAACACCTGCGGCGATTGCCCCAGACATGCTCCCTCCCTCCCTCCCTCCAGAGTTTCTCAACCTTGGCCCTCTGACCCTCTGTGGGGACTGGCCTGTGCCTCACAGGCCTCTCAGCAGCAGCCCGGTCTCTACCGCATGTCGGTGGCACCTTACCCTGGCAGTGAGGTCAGTGTTCCCAGACATTCTCGCCACACAGGGAGCGGCCGGTGGAAAATCACCCTTGGGCCCTCTTCCAGGGCCCATGCCACGAGCACTCACCCTTGCACCCTCGGCCGAGCCCCCACCTGATCAGGAGCTGTCCTCTGGGGCCCTCCGAGGGATCAAGGTGGCTTGTGGAGGGGCCGGGCCTCTGTCACAGCGGAGCAGGTGACAGCGCCAAGCTAGGACCCGGGGATGGTATCTGGAGAGGCCACGGGCCCTTCCATCATGGAGGCCGGATCCCGGGCGCGCTGGATTTGTAACAAAGTTTGGGTAGATTCATCCTACCCGATCCCTTCCACCTTCCAGACGGGGAAGGTGGGGTCTTGAGGGCAGATCAGACTTGTCCCCATATTGTCCCACAATTTCCACGCTTCTGCAATGGCCCTTTTTCACTTGGGAGAGGTAGAGGACGTGCACCCAGGCATGACCGGATGCAGAGCACATTTCTAGAAGGATACAGACTGTTAGGTCCCAAGTGAATTCCTGATGGGACACCTGACAAACCAGTATGTCCACCTCCCAGCCCAGCAGCCCATTCCACTCATGTCCAGAACGCAGGCCTGAGACTCTGGCCTGATGGAAGGGCCTGGCCCTGCCTGCCCCAGGGCTGCCGGCAACCTCGGAGCCCCACTTCTCACCTGGGGCAGGTGAGTGCCTGGAGCCTCCCCGTGCCCCAGAAGCCTCTGCCGCACTAGCCTGCCAGCCCTTCCCTCGCCTTCTGCCTGGGCCCGCTTCCTCCTCCCTCCTTCCACCCAAAATAAATTCAATTGGAAACCGTTAATGTGCCAGTCCCAGAGGCGGGCCATCACTTAGGGAGATAATTTTATTCCGCGCTGGCTCCTGGCCTGGTGAGGCACCCCCACCTCCAGCTCCATGCAGATAATGAGGGGAGCAGTGGCGCACACTCCTTCCCTGACCTAATTGATTATCCCCATACTCCGTGCCGCGCTTTGCATAACCAGCCCCGACAGCAGGAACCCCTTCAGGAGTGATTGACATATTTTATTTCTAATTGAAGCTTAATCAGGACCAGGGATGAGGTTCCCATATATCTCCTCTCTCTCTCTCCCCCCACCCCCAGCTTCCTTACTCCTTTTCAAATTTTAGGACCCACCAGACAATAAAAAAAAATGGAGGGAATTGTAGGTCCCTAGAGAGGAGGGAAACAGGAGAGGGCGCAGGGAGGAGGGTCTGGGAGGAGGGAGAGCAGACTCCCCCCAGGTGACAGGACAGGCCCCCCGGCAGCTGCCTCATTCTTCCTTTTTTACCTGAAATTCCTATGGGGTTCCTTTCTGTTTTGACTATGTTGTCTTACGGGGGTCCACTTGGGGCCAGGTGAAGGGCACACGTGTTCTACAAGATAAAGGCACACACACCCAGGAGCCCCTCGGGCGCACCCCAGCCCTCCTCTGGACCACACGTGCTGGGGTGCGTTTACGTCAGCCAAGGTGAGCGCCCTGTCATGAGAAGGGCGGAAGGGCCGAGCCGCCCCCTGGTCTTCACTGCAGAGAGCCCAGAGCGGGGGCTCAGGATCCTCTCTCCGCCCCCTGGCCCTAGGCCTGCGTCCCTCTGAACAGGAAGGTCGGTGTGGAGCCGGCCTGGCCTCCCTGTGTGAGCTGATGCTGCGGGGAGACGCGGCCTCTTCCGGCTGGAGGGAGAGGGTGGAGCGGAACGGCACGGAGCTGGAGGAGTGGACTCTGGGCTTCCGAATATCGTGCTGGGAACGAGGCTATTCGTGCCTGCCCCCCACGCGCTGCCTCATCCCCACGCCACCCTGCCAGGCGGGCGACTCTATGCCCACTGCTCGGGTGAGGACCAAGGGGCAGGGAGGTTCCTTCTCTGCCAGGGTTCCACAGGGCTTCCAAGGGGAGCTGGGTCTGTTCCACGGTGGAGCCTGCGGGGCACAGCTGGGGGTGTCCCTATCTGGAGGCCCCTGGCCCCCTGGAGCCTGGTCTGAGTTTCAAGGCCCAGACAGCTGAGGCTGCCTCCACCAGCAGGGAGGGCTGTGCAGGGGCCAGAGCTGAACAGTCTGTGCTGAGGCCTGGGAAAGACCCAGAAGCCCAGCAATGGCGTTGGCAGAGTGGAGAGAGGAGAGAGACTTGGAGGTGCCTCCCTCCGGCTTTCTCCGCAGGACCAAGCCCCCAACTTTGGAAGCCTTTGCCTGCGGTCTGCCTGTGCCGCGGGTGCTCCCTGAGCCCCAATGCTGGCCTCTGCCACTCTGCCGGGCTCACCTCCTTCCCTCGTGTCTCTTGGGTGTCTCTGCACCCCATCCTCAGCGGGGTTCCCCTGGGGCCCTGTGCGGGCAGCCGTGCCCACATGGACCCACCCTGGGGGATTCTCCTCCACTCCCACCAGGCCTCAAAGCTGCACAGCACAGGCGCCAGTTCTGGGGCTGCCAGGGCAAGCTCCCCCCAACCCTCCCAGGCTGTGGGGCATCCAGGCTCCACTATGTGGGGCGCACACCCGCCGCGGACGCCTCCTGAATCGACTGACCGTGGAGAGAGAACGGGGCTCGCCCCCTGCGTCCCCCAAGGCCTCTCTGCCGGCTTCCCCTGCAACTTCTGCAAGTGCCCCTGGGCCAAGGCCGCGCGTCTGAAAGAGCAAAGAGAGGGCGCGCCGCGCGCCAGGCCGCGGAGACCGGCGCCGAGCGGCCCTTCTGTCCTGTAGAGGGAGCTCCAGCCCCAAATTTCCCGGGGCCCTCCCCCGGCCCGCGTCCCCCGTCTCGCCCGGATCCCCAATCCCCGCTGCGTGGGAGCCGGAGCCGAGACTCCCGGCGCCCCGACCCCCGAGCGCGCGGGGGAACCCACCGGGTCGCCAAGACGCGCAGAAGCCGCCAGGACCCGGCTCCCCCAGAATCTCAGCTCGGGCTGGGTAGTCACCCAAAGAGAAGAATTGCACCCCTGGATTCCCCGCTCCTCCATATCCCCCTCAGACCACCCCTCACTTTTGAAGTCTGAGGTACAGTGCGTTTGGGGGGGCCCTGGAAAGTGGATTTGCACAGTCCCCTGTGGAAGACAGAAGACCTCAATTGCTCATCCAAGAATGGGGGCTCGGTCCCCAACCTCATCCTGCGAGGGGCACTTCTTGAAGTCTTTCTGCTTTGTCCCCCCGAGGGAGCCCCCCAACCTCCCTTGCTAACCAAGGGGACCACCAGTTTGGGCTGCCAGCTCCTTGCGGAGCATCTACCCGGGTGGGTGTCCCGCCTGTCTCCTGCACTCTTTCTCTGGGGCACCCCAGGTTCTTCTCCAACCAGCTCTCTGGGGGACCCCAACCCCGCCACTTGCACGCCTGGTCCACCCCTGCGCCTCACCCCTCTCTAGGCCTGTCAGGGGCTCCGCGCCACCCTTCAGACTTGGGGGAGCAACGAGGTGGGAAAACAAAATGAAGCAAAACAAACAAAAAAACCCCAACAAAACAAACCCCCAAAAAACCGGGGAACTGACCCAGGGGGGGCAGACAGGCGGGTTATAGTCAAAGTGGCAACAGCTCATTTATTTAGCCAAAAATAGATACTTTCTTGTACAATTTGGTTCACACATATGTACATTTTTCTGTATATACAAAAAAAGTCAGACGCGCTTATTCTCACTGAAACTCCACCCCCCGAAATCAACCGGACGGACAAACCAACCTCACAGACTCAGCTAATGTGGGGTACAGAAGCGACTTGGGGAGGCTCGAGGGGGACTTTTTTCTTTTGCTTTCTTTTTTTGTTGGGTTTTCTTTTTGGGGGATTCATACACGGACATGCTCACGAGTCAGAACTATACAGAGCGATTTTTTTTTGTACAATTATTACAACAATTAAAATTAAAAAAAAATTCAGAGAACTAGGACGAGGAGAGAGCCGACAAGACCAGGGCGGCGTCCAGGTGGTTCTGGGGCCTGGAAGAGAGAGGCAGGAGGGTCACAGACTGGGTGCGCGCTGGGCCCGGCGCCGCCCCGGCGAGGGCTTAGGAGCTGCGGCCGGGCGCAGAGGCCCGCGCCAGAGGCCTCTCCAAGCACCACTACGTCCAGCCGAGGGTGCTGGTCTCCGGGGTTAATCATAAGCGGGGCGGGAGGCGTCTGGACCCGAGGTCCGGGCTTGGGAGCGGGTGGGTGGCACAGGGCGCGCGGCGCCGGGGACCTGCGGGGCGCCGGCTCCCCCAGAGCGCACCCGGGGCCTGCAGCCGGGGCCGAGCCTGCGCGGGCGCCTCGGGGCCCGTGGGGACGGCGGAGCCGCGGGTCGGCCCCCCCAGAACAGCGCACCCCAGCCACTTTCCCGGGTGCACACGCCCGCGCGGCTTCCAGGGCTTTCTTCCGCCGCCTGCCTGCCCCCCGCGCCCCCCTCCGCGCCGCTTACCGCCTGGGCACGGGCTGGAAAGCCGTCTTGAGCAACTTTTTCTCCACCTCCAAGGCACTACAGCGATCTAAGCGAAGCGGGGGGAGAGAAAGGGGGGGCTTTAGAGCGCCGCGCTCCCGCGCGCAGGACTGGGGGCGCAGGCGCCAGCGGCCCGCGCGCCCACCGCCCCCTCCCCGGGCCCTGCCCGCCTCCGCCTGCCCGGGGCGCCCCGGAGCCCCCCCCCGTGCGCCCCCGCCGTCAGCAGTCACCTGTTCCGCCCTCGGGCTCCGCGGGCCGCGCGAAGGCGGCGGCCGCCGGGTGGCCCGCGGCTCCGGGCAGCCCCAGCAGGTGCGGCGGGGCCGAGCCCAGCAGGGACAGCGGGTGCGCGCGCGGGCCGGGCGCGGGGCCGGGGAACGGCCTGTTGGTCCAAGCCGGGAACTTGCCCAGCGGCGCCGAGACGAGTCTGTGCGCCGCGGCCGCGGCGGCGGGGGACAGCTGCAGGGCCGGGGGCGCGCCGGCCGCGCCTGGGGGGGAGCCCCCCGCGCCCGGGGCGAGCGGCGCGGGTTGTCGGGGCTCGTGGCCGTCTCCGCCAGGGACCAGATCTTGGGCTTCTGCAGCGCGGCGGCCGCGGGCGCCGGCGCGGGCGCGCAGGGGTCCAGGCCGGCGGGGGAGCGCGGCGCGCCGGGCACGACGGGCGGCGGCGCGGGGGCCAGGCCGAGCGCGGGCGGCGGCCGCTCCTCGGGCCCTCGGAGCTGTCCTCCGAGTCGCTGTTCTTGGAGTCCGAGCCGGGCCCCAGGCCCAGGCCGCCGTCCCTGCGCGCCGCCCCGGCCAGGGCGAGCTCGGGCGCGGCCGCGCCGTCCAGGTTCTCCAGGTCGATCTCCTCGTCCTCGTCGTCCGCCAGGCCCTCGGCGCCCGGCTCGTCCTCCTCGCCCGCCAGCTCCTCCTCCAGCTCCAGCTCGCGCTTGGCCTCCTCGTCGTCGTCGTCCTCGTCGTCCTCGCGCTCGCTCCCGTACGCGTTGCCCTCCTCGTCCGTGCGGCTGCGGGGCGCCCACGTCATCTTGTTCTCCTTCTTGAGGCGCCGGCGCGCGTTGGCGAACCAGGTGGACACCTGGGTGAGGGTCATCTTGGTGATGATGGCCAGCATGATCTTCTCGCCCTTGGTGGGGTAGGGGTTCTTGCGGTGCTCGTTGAGCCAGGCCTTGAGCGTGCTGGTGCTCTCGCGCGTGGCGTTCTTGGGACGGGACGGGTCCCCGAACTGGTACTGGCCGTACGGGTAGAAGGCGGGGTGCGGGTGCGGGAAGGCGGCGGCCGCCGCGGGGTGCTGCACCCCCGGGCTGTCCTTCAGCTCATACTGCGCGCCCTGTACGCACATGGAGAGAGAAGGGGCGCGCGCGGGGAGCGCGGGGGGCGCGGGGTGAGCCCTCGTCGTCGCCGCCGCCGGCCCCGGGCCCGGGCCCTGCCGGGCCGCTCCCCGGCGCGCGCGCGCGTCCTCCGGCGGCGCCCCGGCTGGCTGCACCCCCTCCGGGTCCCCGGGACTTACCAGCTGCGGGAAGATGGGCAGCTCGGCGGCGTAGGGCAGGAAGGCGCCGTAGCTCTGGGCGGCCGCAGCCGCGGCCGCGGCCGCGGCGTAGGGCGCCCCGTACACGGACGAGAGCACATTGGACAGGGACCCCGAGGCGGCCAGCTCCGAGGCGCCGCTCCCCGGGCCGCCCCGGGCCCCCGCGCCGCCGCCGCCCGCGGCCCCCGCGCGCTCGGGTGGGTAGAGCGGGCGGATGTACTGGTAGCCGAGCTGGGGGAAGGACATGGTGGCCCGCGGGGCTCCGCCGCCGGAGAGGGGCCCGGCCCCGGGGCCGCCCTGCTCAGCGCCGCCCGCGGGCTCCGGCGCGCATCGGGGGCTGGGCCGGGCTGGGCCGGGCTGGGGCTGCGCTGCTCCCGCGCTGCGCTCGCTGCGCCCGGCGTCCGCCTATTGATCTGCTCGGCCGCCGCGGCGGAGGCGCGCAGCCAGGTCAGGTCCGAACAGATTGGCGGAGAGTCCCGGGGCGCCCGGCCCTGATTGACATTTCCACGGGCCCGCAGGCCCCTCCTCTCGCGCCGCGCTCCCTCCTCTCCGCAGTCCGAGCCGCTCTGCCCGCGCCCGGCTCCGCGCTGCCCTCCTCGCGCCCGCAGAGCCGCGCCGCGCCCCGCCGCCCCCGCGCGCGCCCGCCCCCCCGCGCGCCCCCCGCGCCCCCAGGCTCGCGGCCGCCCCCCGGGCCCCGCCGCGACCCGGCCCCCCGGGAAAGTCTCCGCGCGGCCCGCGCCCCTCCGGCCCCGTCCCTCGCCGGCTCCGCGCCGCCCGCCTCGCTCCCGCGCCGGCCCCGGCTCCGGCGGCCGAAAGTTGTGGGCGCGGGCGCCGCGCGCGCGGGGGGCGTGTGTCCGTGTCTGCGTCTGTGTCTGTGGGTCCGTCCCCGCCCTAGCCCCCGCCCCCGCCCGTCCCCAAATCTCGGGTCTGACGTCGCGCCCTCTTATTCGACTTTTCCTGGCAGCTCCTTCCCGAGTCGCCAATCGCCGGAGCGCCTGGCGGGCGAGGCCGCCCACCCCCGCGAGGCCGCGCGCCAGGCGGGGCGGGGCGGGGCGGGGCGGGGGCCCCTCGCGCGGGCCCTGCCCCCTCCGTGCGCGCCGGGCGGGGGAGCGAGCGGCGCGGGGATGGGGGTGAGGGCCGGGTCAGCGCGCCCCTCCCGGCTCCCCACCCTGGGGTGCCTCTCCCGCGCCCCAGGACGGGGCCCGCGTCGGGACCAGACCTCGGTCCCCGGCAGGCACCGAGGGCTACTCCCGCGGGTGCCCCTCTCCGCTGGCCCCGCGGGTCCCGGCCTCCCTGCGGCCTGGGAGGGGGCTGGGGGCGTGCGCCAGGGGCGAGGGGTGCGCCCCAGTTCTGTCTCAAGGGCCGCTTCCACTACCGGGGGTTGGGGGTGCGACGAGGCACCCCCCCACCTCACCCAAGAGGACCAGACCCTGAAATTCGTGCGGGAGCGAATCTCGCATTAGAAATGGCGGGTTCGGGCGGGAGGGGGACGTGCCGGGGGTAGGGGGCGCGCTGAAGAATGTCTGTCCCGGGGGCCTAGGGGGTGACCACCGGGGAGTGGAGCCCGCCGGCGCCCCGAAGGTGGAGTGGGGTGGGGGAGGAGCGGGGAGCCGGGCGGCAGAAGCTCCGGGAACTTTCGGAGAGCTCTTCCAGAAGTTTCTGTGTTGGCATTTTGAGTCTGCAGAGCTCGGTTCACCACCCCGGCCCCGCTCCAGGGTCTGGGCACAACCTGGATCCTCCTATGTCTCAGGTGGGGTGAGAGGCCAGACCTTTAGTTCTCCGGGGAGCTGGTCCCTAAATCAAACCTGGAATCCCAGGAACCAGGGCCGACCCACCTCCCCGGATCCGGGCGCGCGGCCCCGGCGGGACCGAGGTTCCCGGAATCGCGGCGGCTCGGGGCGCAGCGCTCCAGGCCGCGCGGGCTGCGGGCGCACGGGCCGGGCTGCGGCGGGCGCGCCGGGGCGGCACGAGGGCGGCGACTGGGTGCGAAGTTGCAGCCCCGGCCGGGGGCGGACCCCGGCCGCCGCGCGCCGATGGATGGAGGAATCGACCCCGGATTCCACCAGAGCCGAGGGACTGGCGCGTCTCGGCCCGGCCGTCTCCGCTCCCTGCAGCTCTGGGGATCCGGGTTCGGGGAAGACAGGCCCTTCCGTTCCCCCGGGCACCCAGCGCTCACCCAACCCCCCGCCCCAACTTCTGTGCCTGCCTGGGTTTGGCGGTGCCAGTAGGTGTGAACCCCGAGAAAACTGGGGGCCAGACCAGGGGACGTCTGGGCGTCCGGCCTTCTCCAATGGGGCCAGGCCGCCTGCCTTGGCCGCGCCCCACCTGCTTCTGCCCGGTGCTCGGCGTGGGCCTTGGCTGGAGACTCCCCCAAGGAGCCATCTGGGGAGGCGCTGGCTTTGAACTGATTTCCCGGCGCCTGATTTCGTTTCCAACTAAACCTCCAAGGAGTGGCATGGGGGCGTCCTGCGCTCACCTTCCCGAGAAAAATCTCTGGGTTACAAAATTGAGGGGAACATTGTTTCTCAGGGGCCTCGCCTCGGTGCCAGGTCTCGATGGCACCTCGATGGCCCTGGACTCCTGGAGTTTGCACGCAGCAGCGTTGCCCCCAGACCAGGGCGGAGCTAAGAGCGCGATTCCGAGGTGGGGGAGCCCGGACTGCGCTGGGAGTGCCCGGATGAAGCGCCCGCTGTTTAATTCCGCTCTCCCAGAAGGAAAAGCGAAAACAATGAGCCGGGGAGATGCTGCTTCCGCAGGAGCCAGCTGTCCACCTCGCTGCGCTCGGCTGCGGGAGGCGGCCGGGGAGGCCAGGGAAGGGCGCAGGGTGTTCTCAGGGAACCCGCCAAACCACCTTAGGGTACCCATGGCCCAGAGGGTGAACCCCAGCCCCAGATGCGGACCTAAGAACTTCGATGAATTAGATCCTTGCAGGCACCCCGGGGTCCGAGCAAAAGCGGCCGCCCCACTGCCCTCGAGTCCAGTGGGGTGCAGCCCTGACCTGGCCGGGCGGTCCGCGTGCCACGTCGGGACTCAGCACCAGGCGGGGAGCGAGCTCCGACGTGGAGCTGGATCCCTAACTGGAACCCGGCCCGGAACTGAACTCTCGGATCCGAGGGCCGCCGAACATTTTCCAAGAGGTTTTTTAATCCAAGAGAGTGGGCCAGAGTGACTCCCTGGCACAGGGAGAAAAAGCAGGTGCACGGGAGGTTGCTTTGGCTAAGGCCGGTGCGCAAGAGCGCACCGCGTGCGCAAGCTTCCCGGCCATCTCGCCTTCTTCCAACTGTCCCGGGGCGCACAGCGCCTCGAAGGTCCGCCGCGGAGATGCTCTCGAGGCGGCCCAGCCCCGGGACGGAGTACGGAGACGGGTCCGCAGCCCACGCTGGGTGTAGACAGCAGCGCTGCCCAGACGCTCACGCGGCGCTCTGGCCCGACGTGCGCCCAGGCCGCGGCCCGGGAAGCGGCCCTGGAGCCGCGGGGTCCCCCTCCTGGCCCAGCCCCAGGGCGAGCGCACCTCCCGGTCGAGGGGTACCTCTCCCTCCCTCGCGCCCCCGGCCGAGGCCCACCTTCTCGCCTTCCCTGCAGGCCGGGCGTCCCGACTGCCGCGCGGCCGCTCTCCCTCGGCTTCCTGCAGACGCCGGCGCGCTCCCTCCGCTCCCTCCCCCCGCGCTCGGGTTACAGGTTAATGAAATGCTCGTTTTCCTCAGTCATTTGTTTTGTTTTCCTGCAAAGTTCTGATAAGTAGCTAACCAACGAAGCTTGTAATTACAATCTTACAGAAACCGGGCCGATCTGTATATAAATCTCACCATCCAATTACAAGATGTAATAATTTTGCACTCAAGCTGGTAATGAGGTCTAATACTCGTGCATGCGATAATCCCCTCTGGATGCTGGCTTGATCAGATGTTGGCTTTGTAATTAGACGGGCAGAAAATCATTATTTCATGTTCAAATAGAAAATGAGGTTGGTGGGAAGTTAATTTCTCTCCGCTCTGTGAAGCGTAGACAAGAATTTAATGATTTAATTACAGTTGTAAGCCCTTTCCATGAGACTTAAATTGAGCTGAGAATATTTTTTTCCTTCTCTCTCTCTCTCTCTCTCTCTCTCTCTCTCTCTCTCTCTCTCTCTCTCTCTCTCTCTCTCTCTCTCCAAAATTAGCAGCCGCGTGGACGCGGAGCGCGTGGCCTAGCGTGGCGCACGGAGGGGTTACCTGGCCTAGAACCCGGCCAGAGTTTCCCAGGAGGCGCGGGCTGGCGGCCTCGGGAGCCGCCGCGGAACCGGCAGCCGCAGGGCACCAGCCGCCAGGATCTGCGAGCCCCCCCTGGGCGCAGAGAAGCGACGGGAAACTTTGGGGGGAAACTTTGCCAACTCTGCGCACAGCCAGGGAGAGGCCTTCGGAGTGTCTTGGCCAAGCCAAGCGCTCGCTGCAGGCGGGAGGGGCCCCTAAGCGGGCTCAGGCGCCCCAGTGCGGGCCCCGGGCACCCCCGGAGGGCCCTCGAGCTGCGGGCTGACCCCCTTCCCTGCATCTGCACCACGTAGCCTGCACCCGGCTTCAGGACCCAACGAGGGAGCCACAGACCTCAGTGGCTGAGTCTAAGCGCCGCCCGGACCCTGCCTGCGTCCTCCAGCCGCTGAGCCCACGGTTCCTCCACCAGCTCCGGCATTTCACTCCCTCCCGGCCCCTCCGTCTGCCTCTGGCACTTTCTCCACGTTTGGTTTCTGGGTCCTTCCTTTCCCCTCTGTTCCCTCTGCGCCCACAGTGGTTGTCCGCGCCCACCCCTGCTTCTTACTTTTCTTTCCTCGGTTTTGCTCCCTAATTTCCCCCTCGTTTTATCTTTTTTCTCTCCCCAACTCTGCCACCGCGTCTCTCCGCCCGTCCTTGTTTCTCAGATTTTCTTTCTTCCCTCTCTTTTGTCCTAACCCTCTCCAGCTTCCCTCTTGGATGTCTCCGCCCGGCCTGCGGGTTCTCCTCTCGCGGGTTTCCTCTCTGCTCCTCTTCCTCGCCAGGATCTGTCCCCTCCCTGCCGACCCCTCCTCATCCATCTTGGGAGATGAATATGTGGCCTTATTGGATGCCTGGCCGAGCCTGGCGGTGGGGCCCGGCGGCGAGCGCATTTTCTTCATGCATATTGAGGAGATGGTAATGAGGGTGTTTGCATTGTTGCATGGAAATGTCGCGTTTCCGCTGCAGTTTGGAGTGGGCAAGGGTGGCTGTGGCCCAAGAGAGTCGGCAGTGGGCACCAGC